GGAAATCACAGCCCGAAGATGTAATGGGAGACAAACTCCTTCCACAGGCAGACTCCCCTGGTGGAGTCATAACCTCTCTCAAAAGAGAGGGAAGATGAAGGAGTGGGAAACTCTGAGACTGGGAGACCGAAGATGTCCTCAGGAGGAGCGTGGGCCTCAGCTCTTCCTGAAGCAAGAGGGCTTCTGTCTGCCTGAACTGCCAGAGCCACTGTAGAGACAGTCTGTGCCACAGCCATTGATGACAAAGATGGAACTGCAAGTGCTGGTGGATCCTGATGTTTGTGCTTGGGAGGAACCAGCACCACCCGATTGCATCCGGTGCTGATGAAGCCCTAAACTTCTGGGCTTTCTTATCATGCCTCTGAGACTTAGGATGTATTAAGTTCTCTTGTGCTGAGCTAGTGCTTGGTGGATCTGACTTCTTCAAAGACAATCTGGAAGAAGACAGCCTCATGCTTATGAGAATGCTCCATGCTCTCCCGACATGGGGGGGGGGGGGGAAATAGCTCGGTGGTTTGAGCATTGGCCTGTTAAACCCAGGGTTGTGAGTTCAATCCTTGAGGGGGCCATATATGGATCTGAGGCAAAAATTGGGGATTGGTCCTGCTTCGAGCAGGGGGGTTGGACTAGATGACCTCCTGAGGTCCCTTCCAACCCTGATATTCTATGATTCTATGACAAGATCCCGCCAAGAGATCTGTGGCAGCTGACTCCTTCACTCCTGATTTGGACCTCATGGCAGGAGGCGTACTCCTTGCTGAGTCAAACCAATATACAGGAGGGATCCCCTGGCCTGGGTCCAATTGCAGCCTCAAGGCCTTTTCCATTAGGTGCTTCCTAAGGTGAAGTTTCTGCCCTTTCTGGGGATGGCTTTCCGCCCTTCCTGGGGAATGAACAACAGATACTCCATCTTGCCACTATGTCCCCATGGCAGCACAAACAGCATTAGTGGTCATTGCTGACTAAGTAGTATTGTGGGCAGGAAGCACAAATCTTGAAGCCTGGAGACCTGGGCATAGTCCACTACCCAAATGGGATGGGGACGGGGGAGATTTGGGAGGCTCCCCACGTCCGGTAGACTAACTATAAAACACTAAAACTAAACAGATAAAAAGTTTAAAACTTGAGAATATAAAATCTATTTACAGATATCTAAATATATTTTCATAGGTAAAGAAGAAAGACGAAGCTTCAGACACTGGATATTCCAACCTGGACCACGCTGCAGTGAGAAGGAACTGGAGAGGTGATCGGTTTGCCCTGCCTTTTACCTCCTCTGTCAGAGGTACGAGGTGAGCCAGGGCACATATGCAGACCAACAGACACTGCTTTCAAAATTTTCCAGCTCTGGGATCATGGAATGCATGCATTCCCACAGTGTACTACACATAGCACTTGAAGAAAAACAGATATACTGTTCACTCAGCTTTTAGTGCTGGTGGCAGTTACAACTATCGTGACGTCCCTGAGCTTTACCTACAGTTTTCTTGATGTTCAGAAGTCCTAGCAGATTGTGAGCATGTCAAAAGGAAAACTGGAATGATACAACACTGCACTATGGCTATTTTCCCTCGGAAAACTCCCTTTTAGTGACTTTTTTTTAAAAACACTGTCATTTTCCTGGTGCAAGGCCGGGGCACTTCAGCAAACATGAATGACAGTATTTTGAAATCCTTCCAGGAGATTAATTCAAAAAAATAGGATATTAGATTAGGATAAATAAAGACAGCAAATTACAACAGATAGTTTCTCAAAAAAACGGTATTTAAAATTGGGGAGAAAAAGTGCTAGTGGATGCAGAACTATAATAGGGGAGGCAGATATCAAGAAGAAACACAATGCAGGGGTATTTGGGGATGTGAGAGAGAGAGAGAGGAAAAAGAGAGAGAAAGTGTTTGGCTATGAAACAGAATATCGAATCAAAATTTTGCCTATAGCCTAAGAATTTAGAACTTCCTAAAAATGAAGAATGCTTTGATCTTACTGATTTTTATTGAAATGTGGACCAACAAAGTATCTAAAAAACAAAAACAGAAAGAAAAAACAACATAGAGAGGGTTCTCATTATAGCCGAAAGAATTTAAATGGATCCAAAAAAACACAGTTAAAACTACAGACAGTAAAGATAGAATCTTCAAGTCTGCAGATCTAGATATAGGGACAGTGAGTGGTAATGTGGCATATATGATAAATGGAGGCCGGGGGGGGGGGGGGGAGCTCCCTTTTATGGACACCAGCCAGTCAGTTAGCTATAAAGTCCCTCTTGGTGGCTGTTCTCTGCTTGCTTTACCTGTAAATGGTTAAAAGGAGCCCAAGGTAAAGGAAAGGGAGTTGGCACCTGACCAAAGGAGCCAATGGGAAGGCTAGAGCTTTTTAAAATGGGGAAAAACCTTCCCCTTTCTCTGTTCTCTGGGAAAGAGGGGAACAGGGGGCAGTTATGCTATGAGAAGCTTTAAGCCAGGTATGATCATAGATCATCAGATCATACCTAGAACTATTTATTTGGAACCCCCAAAATGTATAAGTAGATCAGGAACGTTTAGAAAGACGTGATTAGGTTTATTTCTATTTATTTCTTATGCCTAGTGGACTCCTCTGTGCTACCCCGAATGCCTTTGTTTTGCTGTAACTTTCAAGCTGGACCTCAAGGAGCTTATTCTTGATGTTTAATTCTTGTAAGTGGCTTTTTAAATCTAGCAAAAGCCCAAATTCCAGATGTATTTTTTTTCTTTTTGTTTTTAATAAAATTTATCTTTTTAAGAACAGGATTGAATTTTTGGTGTCGTAAAAGGTTTATGTATATGTTGTTTAATTAGCTGGTGGCAACAGCTAATTTCTTTTGTTTTCTTTCTCAGCTCTTGTGTGTGTGTGTGTGTGTGTGTGTGTGCAAGCGCTTGAGGGTACCCCACAGGAAGGAATTCCCAAGTGTGCTTTCCTGGGTTCCAAAAAAAGGGGTTTTGCATTTGGGCGGTGGCAGCGTTTACCAAGCCAAGGTCAGAGAAAAGCTGTAACCTTGGGAGTTTAATACAAGCCTGGAGTGGCAAGTATTAATTTTTAAAATCCTTGTGGGACCCCACCTTATGCACTCGAAATGCCAGAGCGGGGAATCAGCCTTGACAGCATAGAAAAAGGTTATCTGTGTAAAGGGAGCACATACAATGTAGGATTTTCAAAAGCACTCAGTGTTGTCCTAATTTTGCTGCCATTGATGTAATTGGTATATACACATCTTATATTAGACCTTATAGTATGTTTTGTATATACAGTGAAACCTAATTTAAGCTACTATTCAAGGAACTTAAAAACCTGGTTGCTTACAGAAGGTGGTTTCATAATTCAGTGGTTTCTATTCAATATAGGTTCTTATACTGTACTCATTACTGTATTATCTGAGCACCTAATAAAGAGGGAGAACAATTATAATCAAGATACTTTGGGCCATTTTTATTTACACTGTATTTTCTGGATTCCAAGTCTACCTTACTGAGACTGAGACTGCAGAGTCTACCTTACTGTAGGGATTGTGGGCCAATGCAGAGACCACACACAGAGAATGACAAGGCACAGTGTGGTTATAGAGCTGTGCTGTAGGTACATCGACAATACTTATAAACTACTAAGCCATGGGCAACTTTTCCAGATTAAACCTTTTCCAGCCACTTGACTTGCCAGCTGCTCCTGAAGATATTCTTTACAACCAGTATTCAATGAGTACTATATCTTCCTTTCTTGGCATGGAAAAACAACTGTTCCTTTGGCAGAACAAGTGAGACCAGTAGCTCAGCATCAGCTGGAGCAAAGGTGAGGACACTCTTGTGACTTGCATTTATTGTTCAATATAGATAGATGTATAGCTCAGAGGTGCACGTAGCATAACTGAGTAATTGTCTGATCTTATTTTTGTAACCCTTTCCCTTTCTCACTCCATCTAACCCTATTGTTAATTAAAAAAAAAAAAAATTCAGGGCAGGAACCATGCCTTTCTATTTTCACTATAAAGCACCCAACTCATTTTTGTACATTAACATAAATTAAGAACACTTGTGTGGACACAAATGTTAGACGTGTTCAGTGCACATGAGGTGTTCACGCCTGCAAAGAACAGGCACATATATATGTATAAGCAAAAAATGTGCATGCAAAAGTACAGGTTGGGGGATAAGCGTTTTTTCCGCTCAAGTTTTAGGCTGCCAAAGTACTTTTCCAAATAAAAATTAAAGGCTTGAAACTATTAATATTAAATGCGATAATGAAAATTTAGGCTTATTTCTTATAAGAAAAGACAACATAAAAAGCAAGTGCATTTTAGTGTACACAATGTTTTTAAATAATACTATTTTTAATAAAATGATTTATGATGTGTCTAGCTTCTTTACACAACGAAGTGGAGTGAATATACACTTACAAATGCTCACCATGATGTGTGTTATTCCTTACCTTCAGCTGAAAATAACTTTTAAAAATAAAAAATCCTAAATATATATAGGCACATTAAAGGTATCATTTTCTAGTAGAGCCCATCAGCTATATTAAGAAGGAAATTAATGTTGGCAATATATTTTCATTCTTCTTTTCATGATGGTGTGTGGACGTTTAACTCTAAAGATTATTAAGGAAGAAGGAATTATGAGAAAATCTGATGAAAAGCAGAAGACTTTCAACCCTTATGTGATACATATTATTAAATGTGGGCTCAGGGCCTGACTCAAAACCCTCTGAGGTTAATGGAAGTCTTTCCATTGACTTAAAAGGCTTTGGGTCAGGCGTTTAGTGTCCCATCCCACTTACACCAGTGAACTTACAGCAACTCTGCCAATTCGTTTTAGAAAAGTGATCCCATCCAAGACTCAATGTAGTAGATTAAATTGAAAAGTACAACATACCTGAAAGGTGTGTATACAAAAATCCTGAAGTCGGTAAAGAATATAGCATGTTAGTCCTTAAAGTAAAAAACACCTGATACTACAAAAGATTTGTGTGAAAATCAATATGTTTCATACTTCTCCTCTTGATGGTGGTCCTCTTGGTCACTAAGCTCATCATCATCTACCAGATGGCCAAAGGGCTCAGAAGAAATTGATACCATGTTAGACAGAATGATTCTGCTATCACTGCTGCCTGAAAGGACCAACTGGTCATGAGAATGATTGTATCGTACATTCCATACCCTATAAAATGTAAATAATTAAAAAAGTATTACAGGTCTATTCCACAGAGTCTGTAAGTAAATATACTGCACTGTTTAAATAAATTATTTCAATTTAAACGTGAACAAATAGTTTCAGAGAAATCTAATCTGTAAAATGAGTTATGCTCTAGGAATTATTTTGGGGAAGTTCTATGGCCTGTGCTATACAAAAGGTCAGATTAGATCATCATAATGGTCCTTTCTGTCCTTAGAATCTACAAGTATGGGTAGAATCTGACAAACTCATTCTAAAGACTGTTTTTTTGCTGTCTTCATTTGGGTCATAAACTTCCATGTAATTTGATTTTCCAGGGCCATATCTTTAAAATTCAACAAACAGGTTGCAGGTTGGGAGGGTGGGGTGGAGGGACCAAACCTTAATATAATTCCCCAAGGGTAAATGTCTGCTTATGGTTCAATATATCAAATAGACATTCTAAAAATACTAAATACAGTAAGGTACTCTAAAAGCAAAATGTGGATTTGAAATAAACTTCTACATTAACCAAGATCTCACATTATCACAGTGAACTGTTAAAATAGACCCTAAATCAAAAGGATTAGATTTTTCTAGTGTTTATATTTTATGAATTAAGTTAATACCAATCACGTTATGATTTTCTTTTGTTCTATTTTTGTTTTAATCTTCTCAACAAGTAAAAATATTGCTTCTGTTAATTCTCATCTTCAAGCTACTGTCAAAGTGGCTGCAGGGTCCAGATTTATGTTGCAAGTGATTCTGCAGCCCAAATTCCAATATGAAATGCTCAGCTTCTCTTGACTACAAAAATATGAATATGTAAGCGTTCAAAAATGGAATGGTTAATCTCTTAAGGAATTTTTTAAACCTATGGGTGAGATTCTCACCTTGCTCTGGCCCCTTTGTATTGTGTAAAGGGGCCAGAATGATGTAAAGGGGCTCTCAAAGCCCTGGATCTGGCCAAGGGAGACCACTACCCCAGGACAGAAACTGATCTAAGGACCCCCCTGCCTGTGCTGGCTCAAGGGGTGTGAGGAGCAATTGCACGGGTGCAGGCTGCAGCATGTAGCATTGTGAAGATGCTGGGCAATGCAACTGCCATAAGGCAGCCCAGGAAGGGTGCTGTAACTGAGACAGCCCTAGGGCTGTGTAAATTATGTTGGCAGCTACAAAGCAATCCAGAACTCAGAGTGCAGAGATGTCTTAAAAGCCACCTGACCCCCTTCTCCCTGTGCTGCGCCTCTTAGAAATACAGCCCAGAATCTCACCCGTCATACAGCTGAAAATACCTTACTAGAAATTAGACTCACATTCCCCAACCCTTAATTCACAAATTATACAAGAAATAGTCATATATTAAAACCATTCCATGATGCAGAAAACTGATGAATCACAATAACATAAACACAGCTAGTTTGCATTGTTTTTAAACAGTAAAATAATTAGCAGAATAAATTACATAAACCGTCCACGCACAAAACAGCATGCAGATAATTTATTCTACCAGTGGGAATGCTCCTCTAGTGTCTTCACTGGCTCTGTGACATTTCTAGTATCCCAGAATTTCACCTTGCAGTCATCTCCGCAACTAGCCAGGTAATACTGTTTATTGGGATTAAAGTCTAGGTCCCGCACCAGCTGTCCATGTGCATTTTCTATGTAATAGATCTGTCTGTAAAACATACATTAAGAATTAAAGGTAGTATGAAAGCTAACTGCAGTCTACTGATAAAAATCTGTTTCTCTAGTAACTTGGTTAATACTTTGGCACTGACAGAGCTAGGCCACATCTATACTATAATCTTTGGTTAATGCAAGTTACTTCAGCATACAGCCATTGAGTCTGTACATCGCTTGTGGGCGTGCACACTTGGCTGTTTGCTTTGGGATGGTACGTACTCACCAGGAGCGGCTGCGTCAATGCAAAGTACAATGCACCATGTGTAGGTGTCCCAGTGTGCCACACGCCTTTGTACAGCGCAATGTCTTTTGGGAAATTTTCACAATGTGTTATGGGATAGAAGTGACTCGGCCAGGGATTCTGAGAAATAAGGGTCAACTTCCTAGTGAGCAACTTTCTCCGCCCCACAATGCTAAGCATATCCCATAATTTTTGCACCTTTTTAAAAATACCTACAAACCCTGTGGCATTTTTCCGTGTTTGTCACCTATGATAGAAGCCTGCAGAGCTCTGCACTGTTCTCATTAATGTTGCAATGATCCGCTGGTATTTACAGAGCTGCAGAAAGTACTGCAACAATGGGAGACATGACAATGTCCTTGAGGACAGTTTGCTAAGAGACACAGTGAAAAACAATTCAAGGTTGTTAGTAGAATTCATGGAACAGTTGCAACAGTGAAATGCTGCTTCTGGGCCCGAGAAACAAGCACTGGCTGGTGGGATTGCATCCTAATGCAAGTTTGGGCTGATGAGCAGTGGCTCAAGAATCTTCAGATATGAATGACCACATTCCTGGATCTATGTGCCAAGCTCGCCCCAGCCCTCCAGTGCAGGGACACCAGACTGAGAGCTCCACTGGCTATGGCGAAGTGAGTGGGGACTGCACTGTGAAAGCTTGCAAATCCAGATTGCTACCACTCTGTGGGAAACCATTTTCGAGTTGGAAAATCCACAGTGGGGGCTACTATCATGCAAGTGTGTAGAGCCAATAAATAGTCTCATCCTATACAGGACAGTGACTCTTGGCAATAAGAAGGACATAGTGGATGGATTTGCAGCAATGGGGTTTCTGAACTGTGATGGGGGTGACAGATGGCATGCATATCCCTATTTTGGCACCAGCCCATATTGCCACAGAGTACGTTAACAGAATCGGGCTATGTTTCGGTGGCTATGCAAGCATTGGTAGCTCATCAGGTATGCTTTCTTGATATTAATGGGGGCTGGTCAGGGAAGGTGCATGATGCTCGCATCTTTAAGGACTGTTCAGAAAGCTGCAAGCAGGGACATTCTTTCCACTGGTGGATTACCATTGGTAATACTGAAATGCCAAATACTAACTTTCTTCACCCTCTCCCCCATTCTATTCTCTTTCCCCTATCCTCTGAACATATGTCAGGCTTACCCCAATCTTAAAAGACCCTCCCTTGACCACACTTGTTTCTTCAACTACTGTCCCATCTTCTTCTTTCCCCTTTCTTCCAATCTTCTTGCAATTTATTCCCACTGCCTGGACTTCCTCTGATTTAATTTTCTCTTGGAAAATATGTTCTGGTTTCCATCTTCTCAGCTTGACATACACAGCTTTTATTACAATTACTAATGACCTCCTGCCCTAGCGTGAAGGCCTTTTTTTCTGTTCTTTTCCTCATTCGTCTAACACCTTCAGCTTCATTTTCTACCCACTCAAGGGGTTTCTTGACAGTATTCTCCTGCTTCTATTCTAGCTCTTCTTCAGTATCTCCCTCCTCCGTTTTCCCATTCTCTGCAGATTTTTATCCTTGGTTCCCTCATCTTTACTCCTTTATTCCTTAGTTATGGCTGAATTAATCTACTCTTATGGTTTCTATTCCTACTTCTGCCTACTTACAGGAGCTTTCTGCAAGTCAGCTAGTCTGGCTCCCCTTATTGATAAGACCCTGCTTTTTTCCCCAATGCAAATCAGTTATGCACTTCTGCTCTGTCCAAGCTCAGAAGCTCCATGGGTCTGAAGAGTCCCTCCTGCAGAATTCAGTAGCTTAAAGAACAGATCCTATGCAAAAATTCTGGTGTACAACTCAGTCCCGTGAGCTCCTAAACTCTGCAGAGTGGAAGCTTCAGACAAATCTTGGGGGATGTCAGAACTGTGGTTCAATATGTCTATACACCAACAGGTCCACATGCAGTTGGTGCAACATTTTCATACACATATAAAACGTGGGGAGCTGGGGCAGAATAGTTAAACTCCAGGAAATACAGTCACTCTACTTATTTAGTAGACAAATCAGACTAGCCTCTTTCTAGAGATACCACAGTCTCTTTAGCTCAGAGTTACTCTTGTTTGTATTTTTTTTTCATGTAGATTGCAAATAGTTCATTGTCTGAAGTCCATTGCTCTTCAAACTGGTTTTGGGACTGTCTAATCTGAGCTATGATTTGTTCTATAGCTTCTATTTTGTTTAGACAAGCTGTAATTGTGAAGTTTGCTTTTGTAAACCATACCGTAGCATTTTTCTTTCAGTTACTGTTAATAACCTGAATAAATATTTTTCATTGGTGTTTACTAGGATACCTCATTAAACACAACGTTCAGAAGATTCCTCCATTAGGACTAGTAAGAAAGAGCATAAAACTTAAATGTATTGTGTGCATGGTCTTTAGCACTTAAACATAGTTAGGCTTTAAGCTCAAGTGTGAATACAACATGCTGAAATGAGATAATTACAGAAAACAAAGGAAAAGCCCCAAAAAATCCTTCTCCTTTGCCCTTCACCATTACCTCCTATATGTTTTTATTAAAGGCAGCCATATTTATAAATATGAATTTAGATTTTTGCATGTCCTCTTACAGAACAATGAAAACGACAAGATGCTACAAATACAAGAAAAAATGGTTTTTGATGATTGTATATATGTATAGTTAGCTTTGCTTTATGAAATTAAACAAACCTTTTTAGCTTGGGAAACATGGGGACTTACTGCTGCACCCTGGGCTTGCAGGAGCCACAGAACTAAATTTGAAATCATCCCCCCTTTAAGGCAACAGAAGTTATTACAAGACATCCGTTTTCTCAGTTTAGTGATAAATTACTGTGTGCTAAGGGGATAAATGGTATCTTAAAAAAGCTTGCAGGCTTCTGTTGTTATGGCAACATATGTGCACATCACCACTCCTTTGCCTATCAAAATCACAACCAGAGCAGGTAGAGAGTCCCTAACTTGGTATATCTGCAGCATTTTGTTTATCTTGGCTCACTTTTTTTTTTAAATAAAGTCTATAATTGTGTGGAACTAGTATGTTATAATCTTAGATACAGTAGTTACTAAAATGGTAAAAGTAAAAGGTAAACTTACCCCCAAAGATTAAATTACCTTTAACCATCATACTATGGAGATAACAATTAGTGCATCATCAGTACCCTGATTTAAACAGACATTGATTTTCATGCTGAATTATGAAACAGCTCTAGCTTAAGCAATACTTATATTGTGTATTGAACCATCACCTTGGGACTACTGCATAGTTCAATGACACTCAATACACAAGGTAGATTTGAAGCTTAGAAAAAACCCCATGAGTAAACCTTTTACTTGAAAGCTCTGAATACACCAACAATGCAATCCAAATCCATTCCATTTACAATTATTTATGCAGTCACATCTTTTCTATCCTTTTTTTCAAAAAACAAGTCAAAAGTGATGAAAATTAACCTCCAGTAGAGAGTCTATTCTTTAAGAACAAGAGAGCAAATTTTTTTGTTACCTCATACTTCGAGTATCCCATCCTCGAATGGCAGTATCATTAGCTGTTGCAACCTGTGTACAATTGTGGTGTGGACTCCATCGTCCAGACGTAAATTTTAATTGCCCTTTTCCTTCCAATGCAGCAGAACTGGAGAGCTGTGCATTAAAAAAATGGGGTATTTACAAATAAGGCTAAAATTAAAATAAATGCAGGCACAGTAGAAAAATTGCAAGCTGACCTATTGCTCCAAGTGCAAGAAAGTAAGGTAGAGATACTAGGATACTAATGGGGGGGAAATAAATAAACAAACACACACGTAAAAAAGTAAGTATGTAACAACCCAGACCAGTAAGTTTGTTTTCTAGCCCACACAATCTGAAGTAATTTTTATGAGGCTTATCCAGTGTAAGTTACTCAGCAGACAATGGATGTAAAGATTATTTTCTAACCTTCTTTACATTTCCAAAGAAAATTAAATTGTTTCATATAATTTGTTGAAACTTCATGGGAGTATTCAAACATCTGAAGATGGTTAACAAGCACAGATATATACGTACATTCAGTTACATGGAATTGCTCACAAGATATATCAATACTCAATGTTACTCAATACAGGAGTCCCAGGTTTAATCTAAATGAATGCACCTTCATTCAGTGTGCCCAGCCATTTCATAGCATCCTCATCAGAGCCAGAAGCCCACTGTCAAGTAACTCAGTGGGCACTTGTCAAAGATATGTGACAGAGTCTGAAGTTGCCACATCTGCATTGTGGGTCATGAGAAAAACCCCATTTGAAGCGATTGGCCACATAATTGCCCTGTCTTGTTTGAAACTGGTTCAGGGATGATCACTGGTACCTTGGCAGGTCAAAACCTGGTGGGAAGATGGTTGGGTTGGTATGAGAGAGCGACTAATGACTGTCGTCGCTGACCAGTCATTAAGCCAAGCAGATGCCAGCATCTTGTCCTGTGGAGTCATACGTGACCATAAAGGGCATCCAGAAGACATACAAATTGGTGGGTGGTTGAAGAGGTCAGAGTAGAGAAGCAAGTCACTGTCCTCATGGATCTTGGCCAGGAGCATAATGGAAACCCCTTCATGGTGAATATGGGATGGTGCTATGTTACTAAGTATTGGCAGCCCTGGCAACAGTTGCACGTAAAGTCCTGGTAACAATGAGCAGAGCTTCAGTAAGTTCTACATAGACCAGCCTTGTGTGAGATGAGCAACACAAGACAGGAGCACAGTATTCTGCTGTTGAATAGCAGAGAGCAAGGGCTGATGTTCTAAGTGTCCGGGTGTTCACATCCCAGGTTGAGCCAGCCAGTTTTCTGAGCATGTTGTTTTGAGTGCTAGTGGTCTTATTCAAGTGACTGCAGTACATCAATGACCTATCCAATATCAGGCCAAGGTAAACCAGATTTGGGTCATGCTGCAGGTGTTGGCCGTTTAATAAAGGCCAATGTAATTTTAAAAAAATTAAAATCCTGGTCCATTAGCATATAATCTACTACCATATAGTGAAAGGTGGATGATAGGTCATATGGCGAGAGTAAAAAGTTCTCGTTTCAAAGTACATAAGGAGGCTTGGAAGGGAAGCAGGACATAGGTTAGGATCTCTGGTTTCCTCTCTGCACTCTCATTCACCCTCTCAACACTGACAGAAAGACCACAATAGGTAACTGACTTTCCACAGAAGATGGGAAGATAAGTTCTCTCCAAGCCAAAGCGAGCAGGAAGAGGCCTTAAATATTGGAGGGTCAGAGTAATATTATTTAATTTAAATACCCTTGCTAAAATTAGGGGTTTGTATTTTATATTTTAAAGAAAAAAAATAAACCAACCTGCTATTAGTCACAGCACAACACTGTACAATTTCCACATGACTAAGCAAAGAAGTTAAAGATGGTCATTTTGTTCATCCCCCTCCTTTCACTGCATTCTCTAAGTGATTTATGTAGAATACATTTAAATTGCTTTAGTGATACATATTCCACACACTATGAGATCTCACTGTAAGGAACTTTTGACCAACACCCAAAGCCTAACTTTTCCATGGCTCAACTCCATCCCATTACTTCTTCCCCTTTCTTGTTTTTTTACACTCCACTTACTACTATAATTTCTAAATATTTGAAGTGAGCAAGGGTTAAAAGAATGCTTATTATGTTAAGCGACCGTATTGAGTTTTCACAGGTATAACCAAAGCTAAACATATCTAGCATCCATCTACTTGTAGGACTTTTAACAACTTCAGGTCTATGTTGTCAATATTGAAGAGATGTGATGCATAAGTTTATGCTTTATCATATTATAACAACATACACCTTTGTATTTTGCAAACCTTTTACTGCATCTGATAATTCAGACACAAACTCCTCCTCACTGGGGATTTTAAACTTAGCAATCGAGAAACCTTCAAAGCCAAGTACAATTTTTCAACCGCTGAAATTATTAAACTGGCTGAGATGTGCATGTCTTCAGAAACCTTTGCAAGGTATTTGTTTGTTGTGGTATAACAATGTAAGAGACCTATATGCATGGTTATATTTTGCTTATGTTTCCATCTTTTGAGTACACTTATGCCAAACAGTACTGTGAAAATTATTATTTGCTGTCCGAACAGTTTTTAAATCTTTTTGAACTGAAAACTTTCTGTTTACCTTGGTACTCATGGTTGGTCTATCAATGTGGCATCTAAACATCTTTCTCAATAAAGTTGTCACTGAGCTCCAGTCGAAAAGACAGAATTCATCATGGAAAGATATTTCCTTTAAGTCAGGGCTTTGAGGCTCCGAAAGAAAGTGGTGCTGGGAAACTCACACAATTGTAATTGAGCTGTTTCAACTGTGTGGTTAAATGGGCACTTTTCTTTAGTGCTGTGAATCCAGCACCTACAAGGAGCACTTAAGTTTGTTTACATAAAATTCTGGTGAGCTTTAGAAGAATCCACAGATATCAACATTTGTCATCTTCCATAAAAAAAAAAAAAAAAAGACAGCCCTTGATGCACTTCGAGCCAAACACCTCCCCTATTGCATTCAAAATGGATATTCTAATCACCATACCAAGTCCATTTAGAAGATGGCTTCCCACAGAATTCAAGGAAAGAATCTCTCTTGACCAAATTCTTTTAAAAGATTATTTTTATATTTTTCTTTAACTATTTTAGATCAGTACATTTACCACACTACTGATGTAATTCAGACAAGTTTACAACACTTGCCCTGATCACCACAAGGGATTACTCCCTCAGCTACACATCATTGTTCCATTAAAGCAGGCATTAAACAGTTTGTCCATTATCAAGATCTGCATAAAAAGGGTTCTTCCTCAACAGAAATTAACGGATGTCCACCCATTTCTCTACAGGTTGTCAGTGATTTCATTGGGGTCAAGCTTTTAAAGCCCTTCTAATATCCCCTACATCCTGTCAGAAAAGCTGAGGTTTTCCCTTGTTCAGGTAAGAATGATCTTAGCCAGGTAGGTCTGGACACAGTTTTAATGACTCGCCACATCCCTTTTTTAAAAAGCTGCAGTTTATTGATAAAGAAGAAATAAGATGGATAACATTCATCCATTGGATTCAAGATAGTAAAAATATACTATACCATACTGTTTCTGTGTATGTATCATTTCATATATAGGATTTACTCCAACCTACACAGAAGTGCACAGGACCTGAATGGGTCATCTCAAAAATTAAATTAAGCTTATTTAACCTTGAGAAAATAAACTTAGATAATCAGAGGGAAAGAAACAATAACACGGAAAATATACAAGAGTTCCAAATAAAATAAAACCACACATTTCTGTCTTATTTTTTCCATATTTACTCCTGGGGTAGGAAAGCCTCCAAGCATTGTGTATCCAAAACATACCCCAGTGGATTAGTTCTGTCAATTTTAGGAGAGATTTTTCCCATTTTAGCAGACATTTTAGGAAACTGATCTTATCTTAACCTCCACTGTCTAAAGTATTATGCACAGACCTTGTGACCCTACACTTTAATGCACAATCCCTCACTGGTCTGGATTGAACCCCAGAACATGACAGACCTCTTCCAGGCATCTAAACGTGATTTGGGACTGTCACACTTCTAAAGATCAACCTTGATTCAGGTCTGAAATATAAAGGAGAAACTGTATACATTTAGAATTTGCCATTCCACCCCAGTTCTTCTCACATAATCCTTTCACCACTTCTATGAAATGAAACATACTTTTTCCAAGAAGGGAGGGAACACATTTACGGTTCAGGTCAAGTTGCCAATCAACTCAACACAGATTCCTACTGTAAAAAACATTATTTCAAAAACAAACCTTTCTTCCCCAGTGGATAACCATTCTCTGAACCTCTCATCCACACTTCTACAGCCACTGTTACACCACACAAAATGCAGTCAAAAATGAATTATCTTCTACTAAACTGATAGTAAAGAGCTACATAAGAGTCAAACTGTCCGCACCCTGGCTCATGAGTCCTGGAACAGAAGAAAACTCAGATGGCACTGAAATAAGAGCCTGTGGGAAACAAATACAGTTTCAAAACCTTAGCTTTGGTTTTCCTTTGTACCTGAATGTGAGAAGAGGAAGACCGAAAGGAAAGGATCTATCTTCATCTCTTACTTCCCCCTCTCTGAAGGGGAAGGACGTTGATAAATTGGAGAGGGTTCGGGTAAGAGCCATCAGAAAGATTATAGGATTAGAAAATATGCCTTATGGTGACAGACTCAAGGAGCTCAATCTGTTTAGCTTAACAAAGAAAAGGTTGGGTAACTTGATTACAGTGTGTGTACCTACATTGAGAACAAATATTTAATAATGGGCTCTTCAGTCTAGCAGAGAAAGGTATAACACGATCCAATGGCTGGACATCAAAGCTAGTCAAATTCACACTAGAATTAAGGCGTACATTTTTAATGGTGACAATTAATCAATCATTGGAACAACTTATTAAATGTTATGGTGGATTCTCCACTACTGACAATTTTAAAATCAAGATTGGATGTTTTTCTGAAAGATCTGCTTTAGGACTTATTTTAGGGAAGATCTGTGGCCTGTATTATACGGGAAGTCAGACTAGATAATCACAATGGCCCCTTCTGGCCTCGGAATCTATTATTTTGGAGGGAAGGAACAGAAGAGAAAGGAAG